ATGTAGCCAAACTGTATTTGGATAATGTCTATAAGCTTCATGGCCAGCCTAAAAGGGCCATTTCTAACAGAGACAAGACATTCACTAGTCTCTTCTGGAGAGAACTAATGAAGCAAATAGGTACTAAAACCCTAATTTAGTACTGCTTACCATCCAGAGACTGATGGCCAAACAGAAAGGGTTAACCAGTGTTTGGAACAATATCTAAGGGGCTTATGTTTTTTTTCAACCAAAGCAGTAGGCTAAATGGTTGCTTCATGCAGAGTGGTTGTATAATACCACCTACCACACTGCCCTAAAATTTACACTCTTTCAAGCATTATATGGCTACAAACCTCCTACAATGGTATGGAAAACAAAAACTCAAGTATAGTGTGTCAGTGAACTAATGCGCAGCAGAGAATATATTCGACAGCTAGTGAAATTACAGTTAGCAAATGCAAGCAATAGAATGAAACAACAAGCATACAAGAAAAACTCAGAGAGGGTATTTGCAGTCGGGGATGAAGTTTACCTGAAATTGTAACCTTATCGACAAATTTCCTTGGCCCTGCGAAAAAATTTGAAGTTATCAGCCAAATATTATGGACCTTACAAAATTAAGGAGAAAATTGGAAAGGTTGCATACCGTTTGGACTTACCAGAGACATCACGTTTGCATCCGGTTTTTCATATGAGTCTCTTGAAGAAACACGTTGGAGACTCAGCAATATCCTCAAAGGATCCTCCTACAGTGGATGAAGATGGTCAGTTTCGAATCAAGCCATATATAAGATATTAGGCAGACGAATCGTGAATTAACAAAACAAACATGTTACTCAATTACTAGTGCGATGGACAAACCTCGACGAGACGAGTGATACCTGGGAAGATTACATCGTTCTTAGAGGCCAGTTTCCAAACTTTGATCCTTGAGGACAATGATCATCTCCAGCGGCGGGTGTTGTCTCAGTTGGGGGAGAAGAACGAGAAAGCGAAGAGAAAATTGGGGAAAGAGGGAGTCAAGGGTTAGGGATTGAAAATGATTTGGGGATTAATTACTTGATAAGTGAGCATGTGAGAGGCACGGGGAAGAAAATCACCCAACAGGAGAGCAGTAATCCAAAGAAGAACAGCTAGCTCAATTGGAAGCCCAATACTTGAGGAGGATAACAGAAACAATTATGCAATGACAGTCAGCTGGCTTAGTTAGATTCTATAGTACTGTGTATACAAATAAAACGAGTACTTGTAAAGGAGGAATTAAGCATATTTTGAATGAATTATGATTTTCTTCATCTCATTTCTGCTGCTCTATTCTATGTTTCTTCTTCTCTATTTCTCTAGTCTATCTCAATCATCACATTCTCGTATGGTTTAAAAAAAATAGTTAAGTATTAATTTTTAGGGTAAATTACGTATTTAATACATAAAGTATAAGTTTTGGTTTGTTTTAGTACCTAAACTTTAATTTTTTTAAAACGATACCTAACGTTTAGTTTTTGTTTCATTTTAGTACCTCGCTATTAAAATTTTTAGTTTTTTTTCCATTTTAATACCATGCTCAAAATTTTAACGTTAAGTTCTAAAAAAAATGAAAGTTTAGGTACTAAAACGGAATGAAATTGATAGTTTAGGTACTAAACACGTTAAGTTTTTAACGTCAGTACTAAAATGAAAGGAAAATTGAATGTTAGGTATGATTTTAAAAAAATGAAAGTTTAGTTACTAAAACAGAATAAAACTAATAGTTTAGGTACTAAATACATAGTTTATTCTAATTTTCAATGTCTTTCAAATTAAAATATATATTTAATATATAATATATTAAATATTTAATATTTTTGAGTAAATCTGTTAATTAATCAATTTCGAACTAAGCTGATTGTTAACCAAATATAAAAAAAATAATCGTTCTTCGACTAAATTAATATTGGTGGTCGATCGTTTAACGAAACTAATATGGTTCGATCTATTAATTCGATTAAAATCAAGAAGTTAAAACCCCTATTTCTAACTATTGAAGTTTATTCATGAAGGGATGGATTTGAAAGGAAATAGAATAAATTTGAATTTTATTTAAATTTTAGGTGTTAAATTAGTAATTTTATCAAGTTTAATAATAACATTTTTATTAACATTTCACATTATAAAACAGAAGTTATTATCTCAATGATTAAAATAAGACCTATCGAAAACAAAATGACTAAAATGTATTGTTTTAAAAATAGATGACCAAAATAAGACAAACCATAAATAAAAATGATCATCAATATAGTTTACTATTTATTTTACTCTTAGTTGTTAGAATAACGATCTACACTATAAAAATATATTAAATTTATAAAATTATTTAAAATTTTGATCAAATTAATAGAATATATAAATGGTGAAAATTTAAATTTTATTATATTAATTTAAAAAATCATCACATCAATTTAATGAGGAGCAATTAAAATGATAAGCTTTTATAGTATTTATAATTAAATTAAAATTTTAATTTAATAATTAAAACAAGGGTAAAGTATAGTAATGGTCACTGAACTTTTCTAAAGTTTTCATTTAGGTCTCCCAACTTTTAAAACTTGCAATATAGTCCTCCAATATTTACTCCATTTGCAATATGGTCCCCACCATTACACTGTCGTTGGTACGTTTGCAATAAAGTCACTAAACTTTTCAGGTGCTTGCATTTAGGTCCCCCATCTTTTAAAACTTGTAACACAGCCCTCAATTTCATTCTAAACCCCAAATTCCTTTTCGATCTCAAATTTCCTTTTTCCCTCATCTCTTCTCATTTCCAGCATAACTTTTCAATTGGGGATGCATGGAAAATTCTAATCTAACTTTGAATTATGTGGCAGTGTTGACTTGAATAAGGGTTCATTGAGAGAAGACCCAACCAAAGGACTATCGGATCCATCAATAATTCAAGGTGTAATGTTAGATACAGGTCATCTCAGGTGAAGCATAGATGTTCGATGAAATGCTTGTGAGAGAAAAATGAAGTTAGAAATGCATACTTGATAAATACTACTAAGATGAACTAAGTATCATTGTTGAAAGTCACCAACAAAGCTAGAATTATTTTGTATAAATGGCATATGATAATTTTTTCGTTTAAACCTTGTGGTTAAAGATTTTCAATAGATGATCAAATATAATGAAATCCCAAACAGTGCATTCACCTCTCAGTCTCTTTCGTAACTTGAAAGGCATCATGACAGGGTCAAGTAGCTGCTCCAAATATACTACCATGTCATAATGCCTTTCAAGTTGTGTGCATGCTGAATTGTCTTCTAAAGTTATAATTCAATACAATTCAACTGTAAAATTTCCAAAACATGTATAAAAAACCCAATTCGTTCACAATATAACAGTCCCATAATCAACATGAACTTATTAAAAAAATACGAGCTCACAGGCCGCCGAAAACCATAGGTCGAATCAATACAATTCCCAGTAAACTAGTACCAGTAGTCTCTCGGATTGAGCCTTGCGATTTCACTATGTCGATACTCACAACCAATTCCCTGATTTAAAGAAAAACCAAACAAGAAGATCAAAACAATTTAGCCTAGGACCATCTTTCACTTCTATTCTGATGGACTGAATATCTTTCATACGGAGTACTAAAATTTTTGATTAAGAAGAAACAAAGAAAATTAAATGGTTTTGGTTCAAAACTAACACTGAATATCCAGATCATTGATATGCAGTTCCAGAAACATAAAAATTCCAACAAAAAAACACAATGCGAGCTGAAAATGGGAAAGTGAGAAAGAGGAAAAGCTTACTTCCAGATAGCCTAAAAGAGAAAATAAATACCTTCTTGCAAGTAAGGGGATAGGATAAGAAATAAACGCAGTCGGTATTGTGTTCCAGCAATTATTCCTCCATTTTTTCTTTGTAAATAAAAAGCTGAAAGACAGAACACTACTTAGATTTACAATTTTACATAGCGGAAAATTGAAGAATAAAAACCAAACGAGAGTGCATGTGAGCGAAAGAGACTGAGAGGTGAATGTGCTATTTGGGATTTCATTATATTTGATCATCTGTTGGAAAATCTTTAACCACAAGGACCAAACGAATAAATTATTATGTCATTTATACAAAATAATTCTAGCTTTGTTGGTGATTTTCAACAATGATACTTAGTTCATCTTAGTAGTATTTATCAACTCTACATTTCTAACCCCATTTTTTTCTCACAAGCATTTCATCGAACATCTATGCTTCACCTGAGATGACTTGTATCTAACATTACACCTTGAATCGTTGATTGTCCCGATAGTCCCTTGGTTAGATCTTCTCTCAATAGACCCTTATTCAAGTCAACACCTCCACATAATTCAAAGTTAGATTAGAATTTCCCATGCATCTCCGACTGAAAAGTTAGCTGGAAATGAGAAGAAATGAGCGAAAAAGAAAATTCAAGATTGAAAAGGAAATTAGGGTTTAGAATGAAATTAAGGACTATGTTGCAAGTTTTAAAAGTTAGGGGACCTAAATGCAAGCGTTTGAATGTTCAGTGATCATATTGCAAACGTACTAATGGCAGTGTAATGGCGGGGATCATATTGCAAACGGACTAAATGTTGGAGGATTGTATTGCAAGTTTTAAAAGTTGGGAGACCTAAATGAAAGCTTTAGAAAAGTTCAATGATTATTACTATACTTTACCCTTAAAACAAAAGCATGGTATTAGTTAGTTGATATGGTAAATTGTGTAATTTATAAACTATTACAAATTATATCCAAAATATTTAAATTCAGAAGAATCCAGCTGTAAAAATTAAAATATAGAAAAACTGGATTCTAAAATGTAAATTCATGTAGTTTGAACCAAAGCCTAAAGAATATGAATCAGCTGGATCCGACTCTATTGGCTCGCTTTGTTCTATAGTCGTTGCCTTCCTGGGTTCTGTCTTGTAATATTGGTGAACATGCGATTGCCACGTTACAACAGAAGCTGGAGGTCGCTTTTAATATCGACGAAGAAACGAACCCATGCCTTGAATTTTGAACACCAAAAAAGCAAATTCCATAGGCGGTATGGCGTTAAGAGGGGCTGCCATTGCTGGAACTTGCATCGGAAGACAAAGAACCACCCCATTTCTCCTTTCATCTTCTCCTTTTTCCAGGCTGCGATCCCATCATTTCGCTTCCCCTCCTCTCCAAAGATTTGAACCTATTCCCAACTACAAAACTGGTATGCATGCCCTTCATTTTGATGCTTCATCATCTTTTTTGGGGTTTCATTTATAGCTAGTTACATGTATGTATGCATGTTAATTTTGATTCCTTTTGGTTAACATATTCTTAAAAGAGTTTGGGATTTTGATTTCTTTTATCAACTTCTGTACCATTTTCTTTCCAGGATTTACGAATCAGATTCGGGCGGTACAGAAGGCAACTGCAGATACTATAACATCCCAGAAAGGAAAAGAAAATGATGAACAAAAATCCCAGCAAAATTGGAAGATTAAAATGCTTTATGATGGCGATTGTCCGCTTTGCATGCGTGAGGTATATCATACTGCAAATATTTCTTGTGTATGTTTTGCTTATGGTAATATTCATATTACTGCGGTTGCGGTCATCATTGCGGCTGCAGCCTCGTGGTTGCGAATGGTACGACGTGATTTATTACCTAAAAATAACTATGTTTTTATGTTGTAGTCACGGTAACCGTTATGATGCAGCCGTTACACTGCATTGTGGCCGCAATTTAATACTAAGATAATATTTGGTGGGATTTTTTTTTTCACTCGATTTAACATTTTTTTCGTTGTTAGGTTGATATGCTAAGGGAGAGGAATAAGCAATATGGCACTATCAAGTTTGTTGACATTAGTTCTGATGATTATTCTCCTGAAGAAAATCAAGGATTGGACTACAAAACTGTATGTTCACATTGTACTTCTTTTTTATCCACATGAGAAGTTAGCTACTTTGTGTAGTCTACCTTTTTATTCTATTTTTCCAAGGTTATTGAACCCCTTTTCCATAAATTTCAAGGGTTATTCTTTCAAGGAACATGGTTTGTATTGTTTCTGTTTGCTTTTTAGGTTATGGGAAGAATTCATGCCATTCTCTCTGATGGAACTGTTGTCACAGATGTTGAGGTATATTTCTTAATTTATACAATGGCTCTCCTGTATTGGAAGTATACTTAGCCTAATTTGCTGAATGTTGCAATGAGAAGAATGTTCTCTAGTGTCTAGAGTTATAAGTTGTTAGACTGTAATCTAGATGGAAGTAAATATGGTAATAAAGTGGGTAAAACTAAAAACAACTTAGGTACACTAGCATTGAATCTGAGAAGTTGCAAACCAGGATTTCTTTTCATAATTTGGAGTCCTGAATACTGTTAGATTTGGAAACAGATTATAATATATAATATGGTATGACGTAGGAGCATTGGAAAAAATTACAGTTTTTTTTGTATTTGTAGGGTCAACATAGTCTATAGGCATAAAAGGTGTGCTTATTTGTACAAAAGGAGTTTAATTGAAGTGCTATCTGGTGTTATTATATTTAGCACAAGTTGAAAAGAGTAGTTTTAAAATATCTTTAATTGATCCTTAAAAAAGATTTCTTTAATTGAATCCGACCACCTTTTCCCCTTATTTCCTTCTTTTAGTTTTTAGTTATGTTCCTCTATAGAAGTTTGGTCGTGAATAAATTTAAAACATTGTTTATGTTATTGATGGCTCGCAGGCATTTAGAAAATTGTATGAGCAAGTTGGTCTTGGATGGGTTTATGCCATTACCAAATATGAACCTGTAAGCTTATGCTTCCTTATCTTATAGTTCTATTATCTGCTCCTGCCTTTCTGGAACTAGTAGTTTCAGGACAAACAGAAAATATTTCCTTTTGTGTTCACAGTGTCTAATCCTAATCCATGCCATAATTTGCAGGTTGCAACAATTGCTGATTCCATCTACGGTGTTTGGGCTAAGTATCGTCTTCAAATTACTGGTAAATATATGATGCACATGAAATTCTCTATTCTGTATACTTTGAGTTCCATTCAGATAAAAAAATGGAACTGAATTTCTGAGCCCCTGTTCTTAGCTTTCGTTTGTGAAGTCTAGTTAATTTGTGCCATTAATATTTGGTTACAGATTGCACTTGCATCTTATCCTACATATCAAACTCAATTGCCTTTTGAAATGAATGCACTAAGAGTGGAAGCTAATGCAATTCTTTCTCTAGATTCTTTATTCTTTGGTTGAAAGTTTCAAATGCTGGCTTGTAAATTTTACCGGTATCTCATGTTTTAATGGTTCCTGTTCTTGTTTCAGGCCGGCCACCATTAGAAGAGGTCTTGGAGACAAGAAGAAAGAACAAGGTATGCATTCTGTTACTGTATGAGGTTTCAAGGTTCTACTGTTGACAACAAAATAGATAAGCTGAGTAGCATACATGTCTACTAGGCAAACTTATCAGGTTTTGCCTTTCTATGTTTGTTTATCATATAAACAAACAGATGTCTTTGAAACACATGAATTCATGACTGCTATTATTCCCATATCCACTCTTCTCAGATTTTCAGTTAATCCTATCTTCGGGAAGTAAAAATGTCCTAATCCTTTAACTGTGTGGCTTATTAAGCTAGACTGGATAATCCATGTATTCAAGTTGCGCTCATATTACTTTTAGCATCATTGAATTGTTTGAGGTATCATATACTTGCATAAGTTTTGACTCTAGTAATCCGTGTTATTTAGATTTTGACATGTGTTTGTGTTTTGAAAAATTTAGTTATTTTCTTTTCATGTTTTTGTCTCTTGCCCAAAATTGCTAGATATATTAAAAGCTAACCTATGCAAATGCTATGAACACAACAAATGTGAAACATTACTGTAGCTGGTGATAACCTGGGCCTGTGGCAGTTAAACTTCTCTCTTGCTATGCTGTGAATATTCTTTGCTTTTGTGTATAAGCTACCGGGTGGTCCCTTGTTCCTTTGATGTGTTTTCGAAAACCAGACAACCGAAGTTATCAACATCCTGTTCCGAGTCCAGTCTATCGATGGCGACAAAATGATTTGAAGTTTTAAGTTCTAACTATTCTAAGACCATTAAATTGACAAACTAAAAGGTTAATTACATAGGGTTTATCAGGGAGGAAGACAGAGAAATGATAATAATTTACACTAGCATGCCTTGCTATGATGAATCTCAGGCAGTGGATTAAAATCCTTTCTAACCTTTTTCATCTTTTGCCAAATAAAGGTGAAGAATATATAAAAAAAATAGAAGAAAAAAGAAAGAAATGCATAAATAGAATAGAAGAGATTCTAGTTTGTATTTTATTTTTCTGATTTTTTCATGTCATTGCCTTGTATTATGTGCTTCACAGTGTCACATATCTGTTTTGTTTTTTCTTCACAGGCTGACATGTGCAATGACAACAGCAATTGCAAGATATAAAGATTCCTCTCAATGGCTGATGATAGGTCTTAGTGTAACTATTTGCATATTTATCATTTGTGAAACTTTTTTCCCTATTATACACACACATAATACACAACATTCAATCGGTCAAACATTCAGTACAAATCTAAAACCCCAAACTTCTGTATATGGTTCATGTAATTGCCATATTTAATTATAAAGACGTGCTTTGAGAATACTGCTTTTTAAGATTATGGACTTGGTAGTTAGCCTTTGATTACCTGCAGATTTGTTCTTTATTTTTGGATTATCATCTTCCTGGCACTGATGACTTTTTTTTTCAAAGGTTTTTTTAAATATATTACTTCGGTTAGTGGTTGGTTGATAAATATATAAATGAAGCGATTGAATATGGATATATTATATTTATATGGATTTCATGTAGTATAAATAAAATATATGTAATATGAATTAGAAAATAGCACATAGTTTTTATATATCCAAACATAGCACATTCAGTTAATCAGCACAGCAGAATTTACTTTAACACATCCTACTTGCATATGCTTCAGAAAACTTTTACCATTCAAAATCTTCTGCTGCTGATGCTCACGGAGGCAGACATCAATAGAGCAGGCAAGGCAATCCTTTGCATCGTATCTCTAATCCTATATTTTTACACGTCATAATCTAAGGTACTGTATTTTGTTTTCTGGATATCTTTTCGTATTATAATTATTTTTCTTATATCTCAACCAAAGCACTATATATATATATATATATATACAACAGATAATTAGCCAAATTCTGCGTAGCACGGCTATATATAAGGTTGCATTCTCTGAAATCCACAAGAAAAATGGAATCAGTAAAAAATATGGCAGTCCATGGCTATATCTGAAGACCTCGAAATTTTTCTTTAACTTTTCTTTTAATGGAGAACCATTTCAGCACACTGAAAACCTTGGTCCATCTCCTCTGTGCTTTAACAGCAACATTACGTTGCAGAAGGAATCCGTCGACGGCAGTTTGTAGATCCACTTGTGATTCCAAACCAAGGCTCTGCTGCTGGAGATCATTATCGAAAAAACGAAGATGATCTTCATCGCAAAAAGACTGACTAATATCTGTGTCACATATTAGGGAATTAGTGACTCGTCCAGGATATCTCAGTGGGTCATATGATCTAAGACACATGTTTCGATACATGCAGGTATAATCGTCTAAGCCACTCATACCCCACGAATAGTGGTCGAAAACGGTGAAGAACTTCATCATCGAAAGAGAGAACATCTTCCCAGTGTTGAAATGCAGAAATCACCAAGGTTTGGGCTTCAATCTGATGTAGTAGAAAATCAGATGCCATTAATGACATAAGCAAAATGAATAAATAGATAAAACAAAATCGGATAAGAGTAAGTGTGCCTTCTCGGTTTCAGATAGCTTATCTAGTGTAATATACTGGCATTCCAAGAGTAGACCTGTCTTGTCCGACAATGTTGAAGACTACACCGAATTTCTGTAGAGAACGCCTTCTCGGTTTCAGATAGCTTATCTAGTGTAATATACTGGCATTCCAAGAGTAGACCTGTCACTTGTCCGACAATGTTGAAGACTACACCGAATTTCTGTAGAGAACCAGGAGAGCAATACAAGTACACTCTCTTATCGAGCACGCATGTTTGAGCATGCTCCACGGTGACATCCCACATCTTAGCAGACATACCTGTGCCGAGGATCTGCGTAAACATATATTCTTGCAATTAGCATATTAAAATCATCAAAATCCTGATTGTTGATTAATAAACAACATGAAACCTGGAGAACTCAAAACATGGATCTCTACCGATGCTAGGTTTCATTTAATTTTCCGATTCACATCTTTATTAATTATAACTGATGTACAAATTGAACATAGATGAACACAAACAGTCTACTGCACAGAAACTACAAGACGTTTGAAATTAAATGTAATAAAAGATTAAGTTGATACATCTCCAACTATGGAACTTTTTAAGGTATAAAATTCAGAACATATTCCTGTGGTCTAATCCAACATACCATACACAACAGAATTCCTTTTTGGAAAGCTACTCGAGCATGCTCAAACTTAAGGGCTGGCTAAAAACTGATTAAAAACCATAAAATTTAAAGCCTTCTAACAATAAAGAAGCTACCAACTTATTGGGCACAATCACGTAACTGAACTGAATCAGTTTGTCTTCTTTTTAATTTTGATGCTAAGCATACAAAAAGAAAGAGTCATTGAGTCTTACATGCCGCAGCCTTGGAGGATCTATGAAGAGCATGGTCAAGAAATCCTTTACAGAGTTGATATTTTCCCGACTCAAGCGCTTATGGAAAGCCCCGTCTTTGCCAATTTTCTCTAATCTCCATACTTCATCAGAAAGAGATGGAGGATGGTGCTTCTTGTATACTGCAACCAGAAACCAAAAGTTTAGTTCCTTCTAGCTTCTATCTCATTCTCATAATGACTTAAAAGCAGCCATGTCAAGGCATACAGAAATTCTGAAGAAAACAGCCAACGAAAAGAAAAAAGAAGTCGATTTAACTTTATTTTTCTTCTTGTGATTGGAATCCTGAAGCTTATTTTGATCTTTGAAGTTTAAGAATAAATTAAAAAGGGGAGAAAGTTAAGTAAAATGATAATAAAATTTATCCAACATCTTGTGTCATCATCAATTAGTGACTGTGCTAAGCAACACTACTAAAAGTCAATCATCTGATTTTGTAGCCTGAATAATTCTATATCTTGTTCTATACAATAAACGTGTACCTACTTTTCAAAAACAAATTAATAAATACTTACATTCACCACGATGATCCCTGACAATGAAGGATTCTGTCTTTGCTTCTTTTACTCTAGTTCCATCAGAACCATCCACAACTCTTGCACCAAGTCTGAAACGACGGCTTCTCGTCCAGCTTGAATTATCTGAGAATGATATCTCATCCACTAATCCAATTCCCTCAGTAAGAGTTAGAAATGCATCTCCTGCAAGAAGAGGTTTCTTTCCTTCTCTCTCTCTTACAATATTATTCTTAAACTCTTCAAGTGTCCAATTATCCCCCTCATCACCATCAAAATCTCCCTCAAGGACTACAATTTCTACTTTGGCAGAAGCCTCGGGGCCAGAGGAAACTATTTGTCCAGTAAGTGCATCGACCATGGCCACCTTAACGGCAGAGCATTCTTCTGCTTCAATTCGAGCTCCGGTGAACACTGGAAGAGATAGATTATTTAAGAACTGGAGTTGTAAACTTCTTGATTCAGTAGAATTTACCTCCTTCCCTCCATTCCTTAAAAAAATAAAGAACTGTATGGTTTAGCATAGACTATGAAGTTAAATCGGCTTTCTGGTGGAAATATTTCTAATCCCTATTCTTCTTTGAATTGAATAAAATACCTTTTCATATTATTCAAATTCTTTCTAAGAGCCGCTTCAACTTCCTCTCTGACCTACAAAACATGGATAGTTAATGTACATCTGATAATTGACATATTCAATCTTTTTTAAAAATTATTGTGCAGAAAGAACTGTTAAAAACTATGGGAGCTTGCCACCGATAGATAATAATAGAAGTTTTTGCTTGCTTTTCCTAAAAAAGAAATTCCGAAACTAGATGTAAGACACAATAGCGTTGCCATTTACAAAGAATTAGAACTTTAGAAAAAAAAAATAAGAACGCAACATTATTTGACAGAATGGCCATCCAATGAAGCAAAATAGCATTGGTATAACATTTCATGCTTCAAGAATAATTCATTAAAAACATTCATAGAAAGGTTGAGTGAAGATGCCAAAAGAATTTGTAGAACTGAAAAGAATAAATGACAATTCTGTATGACGGACCTAGAATCGAGTATCAAGAGTTTAAATCATTTTAAAATGGGCAACTGTCTATTTACTATGACAAATTCAATTCACACCTTTGGTTTTGTTTTATCATTCTTGTTATCTGATCTCAAAGCTTGTGTGAAGAAATAAAGAAAAAAGACAGCTAAGCTGAGTAAATATTCCCTATAGTGGCAAGCACAAACATTTTGTTGCTAACCATTAAGGTCCACATAGCCCAACAAATATTAATGGGGTAACGGCTAAGGTATGATCATAGAGTGAAAACATATTTTCAATAATGTTGTTAAACATCCAACATAAAACTAATTGGCATAAATGGAGAGCCCAACCTAAATATAAGATCCTAAGAAACCCTAGACTTAAGGGGTTAACACCACTAAACACTCCTGTTATGAAGATGGCAACTTCAAATGGACTTAGACAGGAATAAACATAACACATCTAGGTTCTCATATCATAGTAAACACCCAGCCAAATATTAGTAGACAATAGGTGAAGAGACCCAAATTCAAATATAAGATTACAAGAAATTTGAACTCAGAAAATGTGGGATAATACCACTTGATAAAATAACTTCAAAGATCACAGTTTTAAAAATTAAAGATCATGTTCTTGATTTAAGTGAGAGAATCTGGAGTCCAGACATCTGTTAAGATCCAAAAGGACAGAAGTGTAATTGACAAGATCCAATGACCTGAAAGTTCTAGCACTTCATTTTCGAAGTTGTTAAAGTTCTAGCACTCCGTATTTTCTTGAAAGACACATGTCCTACACTTTCTTTTTCGAAGACGTGCGTTTTGAGGTTCACTTGTGAGAGTAATATTCCACTCCACTTAAGAAGTTGGACGTAAAATTAACAGATATACATGAAGGATCCAAGAACCTCAGGTTTATGGGTTCAAGTTGTGTTGTGTCCAACATGTATGTATAGACCCCTTTGATGTGCTCCCTTGAAGACCTAAAGCTTTGTCTTATTTCTCCAACAATGGGTAATGAGTTTACACCTACCAAATATAAGGAAAAACGAAAAAACTGAACATGACAATGTCAATGATGTATGCAAAATTGTATCAGGAATTATTCACTCCCGAGTCCAAGTACATAGACAACAATAACTGCTGAAGTAAACCTCATTAAGCACGGGACATGAAGATTGTGTGATTTCAAAGCTTGATAAAGGCATTGTCCCCTTTTCGTGGCAGTGAAGCACCATCACATGAGAATATCTACTATGAACATATACTTGTAACTTAATGTTAAATGAGAAAATATGACACGCTGGATGGAAAGGAAAGCTCATTAATACTCTCTTTTACCATGTAAATAAAAATCTAAACCTGTTTTATGGTGGAGAATGATAAAAACTTTAAGAGCACTTTTGAAATAACATGATGAAGGGAAGAAAACATACCACCCTACGAATTAGTGGCTCTAAAACTGGCTCCAGCAAGTGCTGGACTGATTGCAGCTTCATCACCTCTTGAACCACACTACCATCATTAAAAACAGATTAGCAACCAAAATAAACACTGTAAAAATGGTGCATAATATTAGATTGACTATATTATCAGTTCAACACAAAACATGCATAGCTGTGCAAGTGAGATTCAACTAATAGATAAAGAAAACGTATTCAAGAAAAATCACACACCATATCCAACACCAAGAGAACAAAATTTATATCCATGACCATGAATATCATTTTGTTCTCATATTTATCGCTTCAGATATAAAAATCAAGTATTTCCTTCTGGGAACATACAGTGCCAAGTGAAATCTCCATGGTAATATACCAAGAGTTTCTGGAACCTCGGACCTATTGTTAAAGCATGTACATATAAGACAACAACTTTTGACCATCTCTTACTGTGCTAACATATCATTCAGAAATTGGAATAAATAACCCATAAATGACCGCATAGAACTTCAATCCAAAAAAAAAAAGACACCATTTAACAAAAAAAATCATATTGAAGTTTACAATAACAAATCACAACAAAGTGAAGTCCATGAGAGCAAACCGTAATCAATTAAGCAAAACCAAATGCCTAGTTCAATTCTCTAGTTGGTTTCAACATAAGTAAAGGTAATTTTAATCACTTTACAAATTGCCAATAACAACTTTACTAACCAATAAATAAACTCAATACGAATATCCTCTCACATGTCTTCACAATCACTTCAGCTTAAGAATTTTCAACCATATTAAACACAGAGGACCAACCAAACAAATTTAGAAATTAATTTTACCTAACCATAAACCCCAATTATGAACTAATAAGGAAAATAAAAATAAAAATCAAGGTAAGAAAGGAAAGGCGTGTACTTTCTCAATGTGGGAACCCTTCTCCGTTTATCCTGATCAGGACTAAACGCCTCTGAGGGTCGAGCCTTACCATCTTCTTGGGGCCTCTTCTGTGACATTATTAAAACTATTAACCCTAACTACGAAAACTCCCCGAGAGTTAAGGCGTTTGGATGATGGGCAACGATGGCGGTGAGGTTCATTAAGAAACCCTAAGAAGAAGACAGAAGAAGAACCCAACATGCGGCACTTAAATTGAAAACGGAACCGCCAAGAGGAGACACTATTCATTCACCTCATCAATAACAAATGTTAAACCGAGGAGTAAAATCCAAAAATGGAAAGGAGAAAGGAAACCAACAATGGAAACATGTTTCCCAGCTCACCTTCCTATCCAATATCTGAATTTGGCTGTTTCTGGGATGCTACTTTAACTTGAATCTCTTTCATTGTCTTTGATTGTTTCTTTGGCTCTCTCTCTCGCCCACCTCTTTACTCTGACTGGGTTTAAAACTTTAACTGCCTAGTTGTGTTTTTAATTTTTTTTGGCGAGTTTCACACTATTTTTAAGTGTTTTTTTAAGAATGTTAGTAAAAAAATGATGTTTATATAGTGTTTTTGAATAACTAAAGGTTATATACAAAAGGTATAGTATATATGATATTATTTTATTGTGTCTTAAAAATTAAAATATAGTAATTAATTATAATATGTTATTTTGTTGAGTCTCTCGATTATCAAAATTATAAAATTGTCACTTAATTATTCATATGTTTCACTCTTATTCTTTTTTGTTAAAGTTGATAAACTATTACGATTCAAGTTTTGCAAATACATATTATAAGGACGACTCTCCTAATCTAATTTACTTCGTTCACAAGCATTAAGATTTGAATTCTTAATCTAAGACAAATGATCTAGTAGCTCATTCCACTAGATCAAATGACTAACTAATTGTTGGTTATCAAAAAGTATTTTTAATAAAATAACATATTTGTTTTTTGAATTAATCATTAGTATTTTATCTATTGAACAATTAATCTAGATCAACTACTGCATAGGCAAGGACGTCCCTCCTAATCCAGTTTGTTTCATTCATAAATGTCAGGGTTCAACTCTTAACCTTACTTAAGAAATCCAGTATTGCGAACATCTTATTGTTTGTATATAACATATTTATTTTAAACATAACATTATGAATTAAAAATAAATCAGTTTAAGTAATATTTAAATTTGTTAATATTATGATATAGGAAATATATAAATTATTATAAAAATATAAAAAATATATGGCAACTCGTTGGTAGTATTTTGATATATAAAATATAAATATTTCTAAATAATTAATATAAATTGTTGAGTTAAATAAAAATATTATTGCTCAAATTATATATTTTTTTACAACAACATAATATGTTTAAATACTTCTAAGTAATTAAAATAATTTAGATTTTAAATTATATTTGAATAATATTTGGTCCCAATAAATTATCAATTCTTATTATCGGTGTAAGTTAATTTTTTTCATTTAAGGTTAAATTATTTATAAAATTTAATTTGAATATAGAACACATTTTAAATATTAAATTTATATATGAACATAACCATTACATGTCATAATTAAATAATTATAATTAATATTATCTAAATAAAAACAACTAATATATAACTATGCATGTATGTGTACTAAAGTTGAGTAATTGAGGGTTAAAAACTGAAATTTTTAATTTTTAAAATTAGGTGAAAAGGTAATTTTTTCAACCACGATTTTAGAGTCAAAAGTTAAGTGCTCGACCTAACCCAGGAGTGAAGAGTGATTTTAGCATCCAGAAAAACATTCTCAAAAACACTCTTTTGTTACTAGTGTTTATGTAATAAAAATTAATTTATCTATGAGTATCGATACACCATTAATTTGATTTATGAAATTATAAATACTCAACGTGTTATAAGTTAATTAAAAATCTAGACATAAATTATTTAAAATAAAATATTAATTATATTATTTTTTATAATTTTATTTTAAATAATAATTAGATCAAATGTTAATCCTTAAATTAAAAATCTTAATTTTTTTTCTTATTTTGGCCCAGCGGCAACAATGGTGACGGTGGCAACAATGATGATAGCAGTAGCGGCGGTGAGAGCAACAGTGACAACGACGACAACAACAACAACAATGGTTGTGACGACAACAATCATGACGACAGCGACGACGATAACAACGGCTTCAAAGCAAAAAAAAATAGGATTTTTTATTTTAGAAGTTAATATTTGATATAATTATTATTTTATAAATTAATTTAACCTAGTGGTTAATGGTTAGATCTCTTTTTTAAGATCTTCGATTTTGATCTTCTCCAAAATCATACACATTTTTCTTAATTTTTTATTAATAAAATCATGACAAATGTTATTACCATTTTAAGAAATATATTAATTGATTAAGGAAACTGACACGTAAACGTATCAGAAGACGACGATAAAATTTAGTCAAATATTCTAAACATTAAAGGAATAAATAACAGTATAATTTACCTTAATATCATCAGACATGTAATTTGGAGTATATGTTCCCTTTAATAATCTTTGAAGTATTTGTTCCCTTTAATAATCTTTGAAGTATTTGTTCCCTTTAATAATCTATCTTCGTCCATACAATTTTGTAAATTTATTTTTATTTAAAATTTTATAAATTCATAATTTTTAACATAATGGTCGTTTTTAATTAATTTGGGATACGTACAAGATAATATTTGTTCAAAGAAAATTATGAATTATTTGATATTAAACGTTCACACATTTAACATTTCTAGTACTCAAATTTAAAATATCAAAAAATAATAATAATTATTTTATTATAATAATTGTTTGATTGGTGCTTTAACATAATATCTTATGTCGGTATCATGGTGAAAATAAAAGAAAGTGGTGGGTGAATGTCAAAATCAGAAGGAAGTCTTATTCTTACTTCCTCGGATCTTCGTTTCTGCAACCTAACTTAACCAATACTTGTCCTTTACCAATTCATAACAAATCTACTTTCATTTCGAAGAGAACTAAATAACAATACCCAAAGGAAATATGCGAATTTCCCTAAAAATCACCCTAATTGTTTTTATTTCTCTGTCAAACACTAGGTATATTTTTCGATCTAACACCTTTTGTAGAAAGGCGCAACCCATGCACCGCGCCTTACGTTGACGTGGTGCCACACTGGGTAAGGTGCGGTGCATGGGCCTTGCCATATGCCACGTAGGGTAAGGCTCGGTGCATGGGTCGCACCTTCCTGCCAGCTGACACGCGTCAGAATGACACGGTGCATGGGTCGTGCCTTCGCTTTAAATTTGGCCCCCACCCCAACCGTTCACACCTCATCCCACCCTATAAATACCTCCTTTCTCAATCATTTTCATCACACCAAATTCTCTCAAATTCTCTCAAATACTCTTAAATTCTCTCATAGCTCGTTAAATTTTATTTATAAGGTATATTTTATTCTATTTAATATTTTAATAGTATTTTATTCAATTATTTAAATTATTTAATATTTTATTTAATTAATTTTTTTACAGTTATAAAATGGAAGGCGGTCTGCTTCGTTTGGATGGAAATCATATATCTAGATATTTTGCTGACACGGTAACATTTTTACATTTTAATTTAATTTAAATTATTAATAATAATTTATTTATTTAATTTTTTATTATTAGTTTATAAATTAATTTTTGTAATTATTAATATTTTTAGGAGAGCGACTGTATATTAGATCCTTTTATCCAGAACCTTAAGTTAGCGATACCAATCCGTGTCTGGTCGTATTTAGTCGAGGCTTGATTCGGTCACATAGCTAGATATGAAGGCCATTGTAGGATAGAACCAAACATGATTTCTGCATTAGTGGAGCGGTGGAGACCGGAGACTCACACATTTCATCTTCCGTGCGGAGAGTGCACGATTACGTTGGAGGATGTTTCCATGCACTTGGGGCTTTCGGTGGATGGAGATGTACTTTCAGGGATGGCGCACGGTAACTGGAATACTCTGTGCCAGGAATATTTAGGAGGTGTCCCGCGAAATTTTAACGGTGGTCGGATTCCGTTAAATTGGTTACATGCAAATTTCCAGAATTTGAGTGAAGACGCCTCAGAGGATAAAGTTAAAAAGTATGCACGGGCATGCATACTACATCTGATAGGATGGTTGCTGATGCCGAACAAATCGCGCAACCAATTTCACTGTACGTGGTTGCGGCATCTTAGCGATTTTCATCTGGCTTGATCACTAAGTTGAGGCTCGACAGTTTTGGCATTCCTGTATAGGGAGATGTGTCGAGCTACTGACTACAAGAAAAATGCTATCGGCAGATATCTCATTCTGCTACAGTCTTGGGCATGGTATCGCTTGCCCTTTTTATGTCCTGTTGTGAAGAACCCGTTCGTATTCCCACAACTATTGTGGTAATTACAAAACTGATTTCGTATATTATTCATTTTATCCAGTGTATAATAAAAATTATTTCTTTGAATAGGTGGTCTATTGACATGAAAAATCATCGGGATCTACATGATGAATTAGAAATAATCAGGCTACTAATCGATCAGAAGGCTGACACAGAGGTATGCATTTTAAGGATTGAAAATATATTTTTATTATATTTATATAATTAGATTATTATTTTGATAAGAATTATATATATTTGTTTTAGTTTGAATGAGCTCCTAATTATAATGATGATATGAGGATGTGCGTCACACCTGAGTTAAAGGGCCCATTAGATGTTTGGATGGTGATGGTCCCTTTGATCTGTTATGCGATTGTCGAGTGGCACCCCACTGATCGCTTGCTCCGGTAATTTGGTTTTGTACAACTAATTCCAGAAGCACCTCAAAATATTGACCAGTTGCATAACACAGATCAACGAGTTAAGATGGATATAGATTGGCTGGTGAAGCATTATGAATGGGTCATGATATGAAAGGATCGACATTGGCGTATTCCCCATAGAGAACCCATTTATGTTGACTATTTGACAGTTGCAAATGGTTATTATGAGTGGTTCAACAGTAACAGGAAATTGTTTCTACTTTTCGAGGATGTACGAGGACAAATCATTCATCAACGTCGACAGAGACGTACACCGTCATAACCCCATCGTCCCCCGACTCGTGGACGAAGAGCATGTGCTTCCGGTTCGTCGGCAGCTGCACCACCAGAACCTTCACAGCAACCACCGTCTGCAACGACGTACTTCCCGCAACCATATCAGATACTGCCACCGCCATATCAGATGTCGCCACCGTCTTTCCCTTACCAGATGCCGCCACCGTCACAGAGTTATATGACCCCTCCTAGAGGATATTATGGTTCTATGTTTGTAGATCTGACTTAGGGTTCATATGTTGGTTATTTGGCGGGTGCAGCCTCAGCACCGATGGCCGCCGTATAGACACCTCCTGTACAGTTTTCTTACTCATCGATGTATGTGTTTTATGAGTTTTCCTAGTTTTCTATGAGCGGTGGGATAATCAGTCATATACCTCCAGGGTCTTTATTCTATAGAGGTGCTACATCGTCATCGTCATCAACAAAATGTATATGCTCTTGACGACGACGACGACGACGATGATGACAGTGAGGAGTCAGAACCAGTTATACGATAGTTTTTGATATTTTATTATATTTGTATTTATTTGTTTGTTGGACTTTCTTTATTGTAATATTTTTATTATTTACCATTTAATACTTAATTTATTTTGTTAATTTTGTTTATTACTTAATTCAAGCGAATGATGATGATCATTTAGTGCTTTTTAATTTTTTTTTAATAATAATAGTAAATTTATGTATCAAAAACATTTGTCTTTTAAAAATTTGTTGTATTTAAAATTATATTCAAATACCAAATTGCTATTAGTTTGATAAAATTTAATAATTGTATTTCCACCCCACACAACAGTTTCTATAGGCGTGTTCGAGTGTTATTTCTGGGGTGTAAACTGCAAAATTTTCGTAACTTATAAGCGTAGAGGCGCAATATTGCAACTTACACTACAAGAAAATATACCTTTAATGACACACGCTAATTTATGACTTGCAAAAAATGTGTCATAAAAAATATCACGTTTCTTAAAATTTGAACGATTTATGACTTACAATAATGAGTGTCATATTTAATAGTCATAATCTAAAAAATTTAGCAAAAACATGGAGTACACTTTTCATTGTGTGTCCTCTATAAAAGTCGTCTTTTAATTTCCCCCCATAATTTAACTTATGCATGTTTTCCCGCTTTCTCAACGCCCCCTTCCCTCTTCCCCAAAAAAACCTTAATCCCCAAAACCAACAACAGGGGATAAACAATGGGAATCAAAGGTCTGCTTAGATTCATGAAACCTTTCATTGAACCCATTCACATCAACAAATACGCTGGCAAGCGGGTATTTCATCGAATCCTTTTTCATCTCTTTTATTTCCATTTTTTCCTCCCCAACATATATGCTATTCTGCAAGTTTTGCAGGCGGGTATTGATGATTATTCATGGTTACATAAAGGAGGTATTTTTGTTTCAGTTGTATGTGTATCTTCTCTCCTGAAGGTCGAATTTTCCAAGTTGGTATGTTTATTTTAACTTTATTATTCTGGAATCTGGAAGAACTTTATTATTGTTATTATTTGTTTTTAAATTTTGATTTTGGAATAAACTGAGAAGAGTATGCGTTTAAGGCAGTGAAAGCATATGGGATCACATCCATTGGTGTTCGAAGAAAAGATTTCGTCTGTGTTGTTACCCAGAAGAAAGTTCTCGTCCGTACTCTCCCATTTACATTTCCTTTACTTCTTTATTTTTGGGATTAAATTGATTTTAAGGTTTTCTTCGATTTGGGTATTTAATTTTGAATAATGCTATGCAGGACAAGCTATTAGATTAGACTAGTGTCACTCATCTTTTCCCTATTACCAAGTTCCTTGGATTATTGGCTACTGGCATGACAGGTTTATTTTTTTTTGCTAAATACTATTTTTTTATTTTGGTAAATATTTTTCTTAGATATTATTTGTTCGAATTGCCAAGATCTTTGTTTTGTTGACTAGTGAATCAGGGTTTTGTGGATATAAGGGATTTTGGGCTATAATGATATATCTCTTTTCACACTGATGATAATTGGTATTTCCACTCTTCAACTGATGCAAGGACCTTGGTCCAACAAGCAATGAATGAAGCAGCTGAGTTTCGATTCAGATATGGATATGAGATGCATGTGGATGTATTGTCCAAATGGTATAGTTACTTGTATTATATTCTCTTGAACTTGACAATATTTAGTTGTTTTAGAAAATTTGGATTTTGTATTTTCTGTATATCTTATCTGGATAATGTTTGATCAAGCTTAATGACTTGAAGAGATCATTCATTTGGATACACACTGGATATAAAATTATGCGCTTTTACTTCTGCTAGTAGATATTTGAAAAATATTAAGATCCTTCTCGTTTTAACATCAAAGTTGAAGCGGCTTTATCATCCTTATTTACTGGTTCATGTGTATAGTCTTGGTTCCAAAATTAATACACACGACCAACCACATTTTAACTGTTATTTTGAATTCCTTATTGAAAATTGATCTATCTTTGATGTTTATGGTTCTCGTCCATTTTGATGATCATACATTTAATTTAGCCTCTCATGCTTTATTGGTATAGGATTGTAGACAAATCACAGGTTTATACTCAACATGCTTATATGAGGCCTCTTGGAGTTGGTAAACTTATGATTTCTTCAACATCCTACAATTTTGTTTTAAAAGTTTTTCTATCTTTATTTTTTCCCTGGGAGATTTGCAATTTTTGAGTTGTTAATACACACATGCAAGCAGATATATGCTTATGTGTAATTGTGTATTCTAGATAACTTACTCTGCTATGTTCTGTTTCCTTTTATGTGAAGTTGCCATGGTTTTGAGTATTGACGAAGAAAAGGGACCCCAACTCTACAAGTGTGATCCAGCAGGCCATTTTTTCTGGTCACAAGGTAGTTTGCAAGTTGATTTTATCGCTCATCTTGTTTGGATTCTTGATTTTGGTTCTAAATGTCTGGTTCCAGAAGCCATATATTAGTACTATGGTTATGATTCATAACTATTTCTCTCAACTCGGTCTTTTTGACTATATTCTATATGGAAGTTTTGTTTTTGCTGAGAGTGCAGTACAAGATGCGACCACAATAATTTGGTTAAATTTTAGTTGGTTTAGGGTTTGTATTATCCATCTAGATTGATTTTTTTACTGATGTTCTGCATGCAACCAGTGTTGGATCGAAAGAACAAGAGGCAATTAATTTCTTGGAAAAGAAGATGAAGAATGACTCTACTTTTACTTATGAGGAAACAATGCAGGTATATATATATTTTATCCTTTATATATGTTGAAGGAAGTTGTTAAATGTCACAAGTTTAACATTTGCTAACACTATCGCATTTGTCTAATGTTTTATTTTCCTACTATTGTACAGACTGCTATTTTGGCTCTGCAATCTGTTCTTCAAGAGGATTTCAAGGCTATAGAGATAGAGGTATAAGGAGTTAGCCTATCATCTTTGTTTGTAGTGATTTTATTGCTATGTTAAGTCTGCAACCATATAAATGTGTGAATGGATTATATATCTTTCATGTATTCTCAGTCTAATCCAAATGTTGTTGTTTCTCTAATATAATTACATATGTAATTACGTATAACCGCAGTCATTGTGTAAACTGAAATTATTCTTGTTTACTCTCTTTTTGAACTGTGGCTGATAAACATCTCAAGTATCAAATCCGCTGTTCTTTTCTTGAGGTAGAGTTAATTGAATTATTTTGATTATTAGTTTTGACATAATTGGACTGCTTAGCGTTGTACTATTCTTTTTCCTTATCACTTCACTTTCAATTTTCTTTTGCAGATATACAATGAGCAAATAACAGATTTATTGGATCCAAATCAAAGAAACCTACAGGTAGAATGGATTATTATTTAACTTTTTAGTTTCCATTTTTTACTGGACGAAAAAATTGGATTTTCTTATACTGTTCTATCATTTTCATCCAGATAAGAAAAGATGTAAAAATAACTTTTCAGTTGAGAAGATGTCTTCTGAAACTACTAATTCCAATGCTGCAAGCAGCCAGGAGGTACCAGTTATAGCCCTAAAATGTTTTCTGTATAATTAAGTTGTCATCCTTTCCATTGTTACTTGATGCTTTGGTTAAGCTTGTACATCAGATTTACATCCCCTTTTACTTGTTTCAGGATGGGATTAATGATCTTCATGATTTGGAGAGTTCACTTGCTTCATTTCCTATTAAGCCACTTCAGGCACTCAAGTATGGCTTTTTTATGCTTGCATGATCTTACTATTTAAACAATTCATTATTATAACATAATTAAGATGACATTTTTATTAGCATCTGTCTCATTCAAAGGACCTCCAAGTCGTAATTGTCTCAAATAGAAAGCAATTTCTTGTCACAAGTGTCATTTAATTTTAAAATTATATGCTTTTTGCCATATTCTTCTCATATAGTTTAAGAACATATGTGTTATCTATTAGACAAAAAACTATTTTTTTCTGAAAAAGGGAAGGTTGTCAGTGTAATTGTTTTTGGGTAATTAGTTTCCTTTTTTGTAACTTTTTAATTGGTGCAGAGGCTGTTTTGACATTGGTGAAGGTGAGGGTGCAAATGGTCCAAATTGGAAAGGTGTTATGCCATTGGAAAGTGATACAAAGTCATCAAGACCCATGGACCAAGATGCTGGAAGACACGAGGGTGAAAATTCCGGGCAAAGTGGCTCTTTCACACGCCAGGTTATTCCAGAGCTTAAAAAGACTTGAGCGGTACACTAATACCCTTTTCTCTTAACAAGGTTACTGGAGATGGGGACAGGTAAGCTTTCTTCTAAGTGAAGTTACCCTGAACCTTAAACTGTTATCACCAAACATACATTGCTTGAAATGACTTTTTGTGAAATATAGGATGTTCTTTCCCCATTATCATGCTCTAGATATGATGAGTTTCTGGATTATGTGGATTGCAAGTCTAGAGGAATCCTAGATGTATAATGTGGTACACTGGGACTTTTCTACTTGGTTATTGTTCCTATATTCTGTAGTTAAAAGGAATAATTGTCTGTCACCATTACCATTAATTTTAATGGCAAAGATTTGTATGCCAATTTATATTCAATTTTATCAACTTTGTTTTGCAGGGACTTCCCACAACCTAAATTTCCATCTGAACGCAACTACAGTGGTCCATTGTACCGCCAGAGAAGAGAAGCAAATAACACATCTGGTATAGCTTGGTTTTTTTACCTTTCATTTCTGCTTAGAAGGGATGCAACTTATTTGTAATCAAATGAACTCTGTTTTGTTATCTTTGCTTCTTGCATATCAGAGGATGCTTCAGAAGGAACAGTTGTTCAGCGGGGATGATTTAAGGTGGCTTCAGCCGATCTCAGTCCCAAGGTACATTTGTTATGTATTGAAACTTTTACCTCTTTTATGTAAAGAAACTTTGCAGCAGATTGGTTACAATCTTCTACTATTATTATGCTAATAGCCAATAACATGCAAATTTGTACTAATAAACTATCTGTACTTGAAATATACTTCACTTTAAATAAGTATAAATTATATAGTTATTTCATATTTTTTACTTAGTTTGGCGATGGGAAAGAATAATACACGATGATGACATTGATGATATTCACAAAGAATGGGTATCTTATGTGGAAAACTTTATTATGCCGAGATATTTTGTATTGATATATGATTACAATATTGTTGATAACTTAATGTTAATATATAGTATGCAAATGGATTGCTTATATATAATATAATATATATATTTAGTATTATGAGGCATTAAATGTGATTTAGTTTGATTATTTGTCAATCTATAATATATATATATAATTTACGACATACAATCACTAAACACAAATGTGTGCCATCTTTTTTATTGACGTGTGCTTCAATGACACGCAATGTAAGTCATAAATGTGTGTCATAAATTTATGACACACAAATGTGTGTCGTCTTCATTTATGACGGGGGCTTCAATGACGTGCAATGAAAGGGGTATTGGTGTCATCTGAGATTGGCTTTAATGATGTGTGTCATCTGAGATTTATGTCGGTGGCTTTAACGACGCGTATTTGTGTGTCATCTGCACCCATAGATGACGCGCAATGCACGTCATTAAAGTGGAGTTTTTCTAGTAGTGTTATCTTTAATATGAGCCTAATGTCACCACATTAGATACATTCTAAGCGGGGTAAAAATCGCCCTGAAAATGGTTTGAAAGAATGATTTTGTGCATTAAGTACAATGTAAATGGCTTTATAGGCATGCTCGAGTGTTATTTTCGGGTTGTAAAAAAGGAGATTTTTCGTAATTTATTAGCTTAGAGGCGTAGTATTGCAACTTATCTTTAAGTTGAGCCTAATATTGCCACATTCGGGATATTCTAAGTGGGGTAAAAATCGCGTTGAAAATGGCTCAAAAACATGCTTATGTGCAACGAGTATAAGGTAAAATGGCTTCATAGGCATGTTCAAGTGTTATTTCCGATTGTAAATAAGAGATTTTTCCTAATTTTTAAGCATAAAGGACTAGTATTGCAACTTATCTTTAAGTTAGCCTAATATCGCCACATTCAAGATATTCTAAGTGGGGTAAAAATCGTGTTGAAAATGGTTCAAAAGCATGCTTTTGTGCATCAAGTACAATGTAAGATTAGAGCATAATGACAAATGAATATAATTAAATTATTCAGTGGTTATCAAATGACATTAACTTTAAGTAAATGTGAATTAAATTACAAGAACTATTATTTGATAAACAACAACCACATCAGTTCCTCATCAATGGTTACTTGATGACAAAATAAGTGGACATGTTTTTCTAGTGTGTCCTGGGTTTCTATAATGCCCACATCTTTTGTCTTGTTTAGATGTTTCTCGAATATCCATATTACAATGAATTTGAGTGGATTTTGGCCAACCACAGTCCCTCAATAAAGTCGGATCTGGTACAATCGGAATCCAATTCTGAACCTCATTAGGGTCTTTCTCATTATCTATGGGGAACTCAAATTCATATACCTTAAACACTTCTGATAGTAAGTATACGGGATCCAAAAAACGATTATAGTCTTGACGGGTATGCGAGCAAGCTACTATCACATGAGAGCATGGATACTTCAGAGCTTGAAAAAAGCCCTTAGTCGCACCATCTGTCCCGTAGATTTACTCTTAACGAGTTAGCTTCAATCTCTTGAAGAGGTCGCGACATCTCTGTGACACGAAACAATTCATGCGTTCTAGAGAAGCTTGTTACAAACATTCCATTTAATGTAGCAATTTTTTTTGTAGATCTGTAACTAATCTAGGGTGATAGACATGACCGCCTTGCATTCATGCTTAAACTTGTCCCCTGAGCTTCGCAAAAAGCGCCCCCAAACGAAAATATATAGTTTTTACCAAAGCCGCTATAGGTAAGTGACGTACCCCTTTTAAGGTCGAATTGATTGCCTCAGCCAAGTTGGTCTTCATGTGTCCATATCGATATCCACCATCATATGCATTTGCCCACATTTCTTTATTGATGAGGCTGATGTAATCGTATCTTTCCTTGTTCTTCACCCGCATATCTTGATGCATGGATTCAAATGTTTGAGGTAGTAGTTCATAACCTGAGCAGAAAATGTAGAACTTACTAACTTTGTTTCTTTAAAAAATAAAAATGATCGAAAGAAAAAAAAACTACAACAGTTTCACTTACCCATGCGCACAAGTAATTGGCGCTCATCATTCTTCTTGAACCTTCCATGGTAGTTCTCAGCAATGTGTCGGATAAAATACCTATGTTGGATAAAGTGTGGTTGCCACATTGGACCGAAAGACTCCATTGCTACTTTGATCCCAGCTCTACGATATGAAATGACACATATTTTTTCCCTTGTGATAACATGTGAACGTAAGTTTAGGAGGGAAAAAACCCAAGAATCTGTATCTTCTCATTCAACAAGGGCAAAAGCAATTGGAAGAATGTTGCGATTACCATCTTGGACAACTGCCAATAGTAAAACTTGCTTATATTTTCCATACAAGAAAGTCCCGTCAATCTAGACCACAGGCTTGCAATATTTCACAGCATTAATGCACTGTGGGTAAGTCCAAAAAACCCGGTAGAATTGGCATTGATCGTTAAGAACTTGATCATTATGGTATGCATGGCAAGTTTCAAAGTCCACAATTGTCCCAGGATTCAACCTCCGCACCACCCTAAACCAACTTGGAAGTTCTATTCGCCGTGAAGTTTTTAATGGCATTCTGCTTTATCTTCCATACTTTTTTTGTATGAGACGGAATACCCATACTGCGATTGTATAGCTGAAATCAACACAACAATAACTATATGGGAGCTTGCTTTTACCATGGGCATGATGGCTTGGCATATCACTTCAGAGTCCAAGTTGGGATGATCTTGGTTGATCCCTCTAGCACAACATTTGTGAGGATCGTTGTATACCGTTAGTTCCCATCTATTGTTTTTCCTCTTCCTCTTCGATACATGAACCATCCAATTGCATCCGTTTTCACGTCGGACACAGTGGCATACATACTTTTCTGTCGTAGAGTGGTCGACTCTGGACTGAACAGAATTACGGATATTGTAATTTTTTTATAGCCATCATCACTTCTTTGCTTGAAAACTCCTTTGCCTAAAGATAACTCACCATTATTTATTGACGAGTAAAATCCATAGTCATCAATATTAGGCATATATGCAAATTATGGCCCGTACATTGCACCATAGTCAGCTTCATACATGTGTGTTGGAGGTTTAATTTGTGCTACATTTGTGGGAACTTCATCTACATCATCATCGGAGTTGAACTGCGGTGATTCTGGGTGAATGAATAGTCTAATCTCAGCACCATCCGCACCTGGCTCACGAAGTGGTTCTTCTGGTGGAGATGATGGTTCCTCCATGCTCTCCACATTTAGGTCGAAGAACCTACTACTTGCATGCCTTCTCCTTGAACTAGAAGGCATATCGATATTGAGATCGAAAAAGCTCGCAGTAGAATGCCTCCCCCTAGAGCTTGAAGTCATCGTGTCAAATGGAAACTGCACAGATTGTTGCGTCGAGGGCATCTCTATATTTAGGTCCAAGAAATTGGCAGATGAATGCCTTCCCCTTGAACTGGACACGATGTTGCCATACGGATTGTTCGTGGACATACCTCGATACAGATCGTAAGGAGTTACTGATGAATGTCTCCTCATTGAAGTTGATGGGATGATGACACCATGATGCGAATTTCCCATTATGGCATTAAAATCATTACACATTAATGTAGTTGAGCTGTCAACTTGATCAGCTTGTTCAGTCAGCCCATAGTGGGAGCTTAATGACAGACCCCGAACAACACGTACTTCAACAAACTTTACATACATCCCCATATCAACGTCTGAATAATGATTTTGAGAATCAACCATCATTTCAACATCATCATTGTTCGATAGTTCGAACGCTGTATAAGTTAACGGAAACAATGATGTTGAAAATCTGTACTGAAGTGACGACATTCTTCTAGTACTTCCAACATGAACCTTCCTTGAAATCTTCGTTATCAGCTCCTCAAGAGTTATGTTTCTCTTGAAGGATATTTTAACATAATGATTTGATACGAAAACAACGCCGATTTCATCTTCCCGAATTTCTCCATCATAATAAACAATAGCTGAAATTCGTGTCATTCTTAGAGTTTGAAAGTAAGACAATCTTATATCTACAAAAAAAAACCTGAAACAAGCCTAATTAAATAAATAATATAT